AAGTCAACCCCCTCTCGCTGACTGAAGCCTCGAGCAACGTAACGTGCCTTGAAGACAGGCGGAGAACCAGGCGGTCGCTTCACCCTGAAAATCCACATGCCACTGACGATGTTCGCCCCAGGAGGGGGAACGTCGTCGACGTAGGTGCCTGTGGACTTCCAGGATGCCATCTCTGCGTCCATGGCTGCCTGCCACTGAGAGGAGTAGGGACCCGCGACCGCCTCAGCGTACGAGCGCGGGGGGTGGGGATGTCTAGTGCTCCCGGGTCTCCCTCAGGGGCAAGCAGCATGGTCACGAGATGAGGCGCAGCGGCTGCAAGACACTCAAGGTCCTCGTGCCTGTCCTCAAGGACGTCCGTGCTAGGATAGCACACTCACCCCCGACGGACGGAGGACAGACAGACTCAGACTCAGCGACAAGACTAGCAGCGTAGTCTAGACGACAGGCAGCCGCAAAGTCAACAAGCTCAGCAACCAAAGCAGTCGCAGCAGCAGACTCAAACGACGGGTCAGTGACAACAGTGGCGAGCAGACGCGTGACAGTGAAAGTAGGCTGCTCAGCACGAAAAAGGTCAGACTAAAGGGTCCGGACGTTAGGCAAGGAAGACGCAGGAGGAGACGGCAGAGAAACAGACTGCGGAACAGAGGAAGGACGACGGACGACAAGGTGTGCGGTGGGACAGGGCGTCGAACGCGGACGCGGAACACGACGACCGGTACGACTAGGACGAACAGGCGAGACAGGACGAGACGCAGGCTCACGACGCTCAGCAAGACTACCTGTCTGCTCAGTTTGTAAGGAGAAGAGCAGGCTGGGGGTGAGCCGGGCTGTAACGGAAGACCAGTAGACGACGGGAGAGTAAGAACCTGACGAAGAACAGAGTCAGGCGGCGGCAGAGACGACGGAGACGGCGGAGCGAAGAACAGTCGTGGCGGCGCAGCTGCACCAGGACCGGCAGCTAGGCCCAGCCGCCTCCAGCAGCAGAACCGACACCGCCAGGCCCAGGGTCTCCAACCCCAGTGCCTCCAGCAGCAGCACCCCCAGAAACCAGCACCTCCAGTCCCAGGGTCTCCAGCCTCCACGTCTCCAGCACCCCCAGAACCAGCACCTCCAGTCCCAGGGTCTCCAGCCTCGGTGTCTCCAGCAGCAGCACCTCCAGACGCAGCACCCTCAGCCCCAGCAGCTCCAGTACCTCCAGTACGAGCACCTCCGGGACCAGCGACTCCAGCACCTCCAGTAGAAACAGTACCAGCACCACTCCTAGCTCCAGGGACGGCAGCAGAAGTACCTCCAGCAGTAGAGCCCCGGGCTCCAGCAGCGCGACCCTGACGGCGACCGTACCAGTCGTGCAGCTGCTGCAAGGTGAGAGGCACACGTGGACGAAGGCGGCTACTCCAAGGAGACCGCGCAACAGCAGACTCTGAACCCTCAGCGCCAGCACCCTCAGCAGCTCCAGCGCCACCAGCACCAGACCTCCAGCCAGCAGCTCCAGAACCTCCAGCGCTCGCACCCTCAGCAGCCCCAGAACCACCAGCTCCAGCACCCCAGACCCCTCACACGCAGGCTCAGCACCTCCAGGCTCTACACCCTCAAGCTCCGCACCCCCAGGCTCCGCACCCCCAGGCCCAGCACCCCCAGACTCAGCACCCCCAGAAGTAGCACCCCGAGCAGGACCACCCCCAGCAGGACCTGAGTCACCAGTGACCTCAACCGGCGCAGGGAAGGGAGGAGGGTCTACCTGAGACACACCTGAGGGAGCAGGACCTGGAGCGGGGAGAGGGTCGACCTGGGGAGCACCTGGAGCGAGGAAGAGCGGCGGGGGAGGAGAGGGGCAGTGCGGTAGGGGAAGAGACGGTAAAAGGGAACCGACTCGTCGAACGTGACGTCCTGAGACGCAAAGACACGACGCGAGGTGGGGTGGTAAAACTGCCAACCAGGCGCGTCAGGGACAAAGCCAAGGAAGACACAGGGAATAGCGCGGGCGGAGAGCTTGTCCGCAGTGGTATCGCGGACAAAGGCACGAGCACCCCAGACCCGGAAACGCGACGCATCGCCAACCTTCCCCGTCCACAGCAGTGTGGGCGAGGTCTCCGGCAAGGAGACACGGGGCCAGAGGTTGAGCTGATGCGCGGCGTACCGGACCGCAAACGGCCACAGAAAATGAGGGGCAGCCGCATGGATCATGGAGGTACGAGCGACCTCCATGACTAAGCCAATGCGGCGCTCAGCAACCCCATTCTGCTGCGGAGAGGCCGGAAGCGTGAACGTCTGGCGGACGCCGTGCTCCGCACAGTAGGCCGCCAAAGGTCGGAGGTGAACTCACCACCTCTGTCAGAGTGCAGACGCAGGACAGGAAAGTCCCTCTCGAACCGCTCGCGGAGCTGGAGACGAACAGCGCGGATCCAAGGGATCAAAACATCAGGGACCTGACCCTTGCTGCGCAAGGGGAAGACCGTGGTGTAACGGTGAAGTCGTCGACGACCGCAGCAGAGGAAGTACCGCTCGTGGCCCTGTCCACGGACGCGGGCTGGGCCCCACACGTCCAGGTGGAGAGTCTGCAGGGGAGCCTCTGTGGGAGGGAACGAGGAGGAGTGAGGAGCGGCGCGCTGCCGCCCCTCGACGCAGGGAATGCAAGGAGGCGCAGGCGAGGGAGGGAGGGCAGGCAGAGTCCTGGGGAGACCAGAAACCAGAGAGCGAGAGTGCATGCCACGAAGCGCTGCAGAGAGGGGTGACCAAGGCGGTGGTGCCACAGGAGGGTCTGGTGCGACAAAGCACGACACTCGCAGGGGGCCGACAGCTGACCTGACGCAGACGCAGACGCAGCTACCTGAGGGGCCGCAGTGGTCAGTGTGTACAGACTCGAGCCAGGCGCACGGGTAAACGTGGCCAGGTGTCGGCCCGTCCGAGCACACGTACAGTGAGTCACCCGCTGACCCGCAGGAGTGAACTGGTCAACTCCCCCATCCTGGAGGTCAGCTCCACTCACCAAGTTCGTAGAGAACGAGGGGAGGTAGAGACCTGACAGCACGCCAGATGGGACGGCCGGACACGGCAAAACCGTGGAGTAGCGGGCAACGACAGGACCCCCAGAGGGGTCCGCCAGGGAGACTGCAACCGGCCGACTACGCGGCGTGAGTGTGGTGCAAGTCGCGAAAGAAGAGGCGGGAAGCTCCTGAGTCAAGGGTGAAGGGTGTGCAAGGCCGCAAGCAGCGCAAGTACCAGAGAGAGCAGACTCACAGGCACCTGGGGCGGCAGCCTCACCAGCACCTAGAGCAGAAGACGCAGTAGCACCAGAGCAGCAGCCTCACCAGCACCTAGAGCAGGCGACGCACGAGCACCTAGAGCAGCAGCCTCACCAGCACCGAGAGCAGCAGGCTCTATACCTGGGTCAGGCGGTACGCACAGGTAACAGGCTCGGTCAGCACTAGTAGGCAATGCATACATAGCAGTGAGAATAGCATCATAGTCAAGAGCAAAGATATCTATCCTCTGGCTAAGCAGCTCCAGCCAGGTGGGGAGCTCAGCCTCGTCACCAAACTCGGTACGCCAGGCGTCGCTCAGGCGGGCGAAGCAGCGGGACTGTGTGTGACCAGGCGTCCCGCAGGTCTGACCAGCTCGATCACCTGTGCGAATGACGTACCGGCAGCGCACTGGACTGAAAGACCCTCTACTCTGAGCGTACCACTCCTCGAGCTGCCGAGACGTAAGTGTCTCGCGTGGACGCCGCTGCAGCTGCAGCTGGCCGCTGCTAGAGGCCCCCAACTGACCAGCTCCAGGGCGACAGCTACGACGGCTACCGCGACAGCCCCAACTAGTATACCACTCACTAAGCTGCTGGGGCGTGAGAGACTCGCGTGAGTGTCGCTGGAGCTGCATCTGGTCCCTTGCTAATAGCTAGTAGCAGCAGCAGCTCTCGGCAGGGCAGGCGCGGCAGGGCCGGCAGACAGGCAGGCAGGCGGGCAGGCAGGCAGGCAGGCAGGCAGACAGGTAGGCAGGCAGGCTGACAGGCAGACAGGCCGGCAGGCAGGCAGGCAGGCAGGCAGGCAGGCAGGCAGGCAGGCAGGCAGGCCAGCAGGCAGGCAGGCAAGCCGGCAGGCAGACAGGCCGGCAGGCAGGCAGGCAGGCTGGCAGGCAGGCAGGCAGGCCAGCAGGCAGGCAGGCAGGCCGACAGTAGGCAGTCAGGCAGGCAAAAGACAGGCAGGCAGGCGAAAGGCAAGTAGGCAGGCAGGCAGGCAGGTGCTCACCAAAGGCTGGAAGGGCAGGTGCTCGCCGGGCGAGCAGGGCCGAGTAGGCGCACGACGCAGTTGCGATGGGCCGAACAGCGACAGTAGAGTAGGGCCGCAGCAACTGCAGGGTGGGGGGCCGCTTCAGCGGCAGTCGCAGAGTGGGGGCCGCATCAGCGGAGATGGCAGTGGAGTGCCAAGACGTGAGCAACGCACACTTCAACAGCTGGGACATCCGAATACACTCGTTCGTCGAGAAGATCTTCCAGTTATGCTGAGGAAACGGTTGCGTGATTACGGGATTTTTAAGACAAAATCCCGTCACATGTAGTAAGTTATCGCTAATGTATTGTACGGAATAGAGACTTTGATGGCCGCCGGCAGATATCGATCCCCTTCTTCCACTGGGGATCGCATTTGCGAACCGCGCTGGCTAAATTGGATTGCAGCTGAAGTTGTCCCTGCACGAGCACGTTGCCTGATGCGTTGGTAGGCTTGTAATCAGCTTCAATGCTAGTATAACTATGCTTTTACGAAACTGCATGAACATTTTAAAATTGAAGTAACTCTGACAGTTCAGACAAAAAAAGTTGTGCTTGTCTGAATTTCCAGACTAAAAAAAATAGGTAACTCTGACAGCCAGACTAGGAAGAGGGGTGTACTCTGAGGCGTCAGACTACCTCAAAACGAATCTAGGGGCCTGGTCAACGAGTCAGAGAGAGAAGTCAACTTGCTTCTTCTCAATGCAAGCGCAAACTCACAAAGCATACAGTGTACACTACAATACAGTAACGATAAGCATACAGAGGAAGAAACACACAAAGCAAAAGCCCACAGGATCCAAAGTATATGCAGCGTGAAGCGTTGCCGTAGGGTTCAAGCCGAGCATGGTTTGCTCGAGAAGGAAGTGCCGGTACCCACCATCAGCCCCTTGGCTGGTGCTCTTCAAACTCGCCAACATGGAGAGAGTGGAACAACACAGTGCAATGGGGATAGAAAGATTTGAGCAATACAATGGGCCAAATATGCTCAATGTAGACAGAGAGAGGCTAACAGTTATGCATGACATGTGGCTTGGTCCAATCACCTGACGTGGGAAAAAATAATGAAGTTGGGTTTACTAGGGAATGATCATGTTGCGGCTGATGCATGTGATATAGTACGCAAGTAGCAAAATTCAGCAGCGGCAGCACCACTACCAAGACCATCAGCAATTCACCTTGACTTGCACGATGTAGAACACAATGGCTGCGTTCTGCAGGCACGACAGAGGGGGGGGAGGCGGTAAATAGGAACCTTCCCCCAACTGCGTTTTTTGGTCAAACGCCCGGTCTGCCCGGAAAATGGATCAGAGCCTCCATTTACCCTCCGAAGGTAAATGGCAACAGAACAGCCATTTACCCTCGAGGGTATGAGGGCGTAGGAAGCTGCCTATTTCCCCCAACGCAGCTTCCTTCTCTGGCAAAATTTGCCCCCTTCTTCCCCCCTTTCGAAAACTGCTCTTGCCCTGGTTGTGGGACGGAGGGGGAGGGAGGCGCTGGGTTAGGGAACACCACGGTTGAACCCTAGAAAGCAAACAGCCCCCTCCTTAAGTAGCCCAAACAGGGACGCGTCAACCTAGGTAAAAAAAAACAGAAGCCATCAACCTCCTCAAACTGGGTTTGCTGGAGGGAGTGCTTGGGTGCGTTTTTTTCTCTACGTGGTAGCCCTGTGACAAAGTTCAACTCTTTTTATGAGTTTGCCCAGTTCTCTCTACCCAACTTTTGTGCGTAGGAAATTGTAGCTGTTTTTTCGGCATTTACCTGTTAATAGGTAGGTAGCAAGTAAGTAGGTTTAAGTAGGGCCTAGGCTTAGTAGCCTAGGCCACGAGGAGACGAGTGAGTTTGTGCCAAGGGAGGGGACGAGAATGTGGTTCACTATGGAGCGAACAGTACAAATAGGCAAGGGAGAAGAATGGTGCACCACCACTAACAGTTTATGATTGCTACACTAAACTACAGCTACAGGCAGTTACACAAATATATTCTAACACTCCCCCATAACTGCCTGCAGCAAGAGTTTGTGCAACGACACCTCCTGGATGGGTACACCAAGCAGAGTAAAGCAGTAGTAGGCAAGAGCAGTGACAAGTTCACAAATAACAGCAAAGAGAGACAAGAGGCAGAACTAGAGAAGCAGTCATGAGGAGGAGGGACTAGATGAGAAGCTGATGGCAGGTGAAGCTGCTGGCACCGAGGCGGCTGCTTCCTGGAACCTCCCCCAGTCCTCCAAATCCCCCTTCCACACTCCTCGACAACCCTAGCACCTCTCCCCAGCTCCCCCACACCCTCACACCCTCCCCCCCAGCGGCAGCTGCAGCAGTGGGAACGAAAGGAGGAGGAGGGGAAGGGGATCAGACACCGTCGCGGGCGCCAGGGGCGGATCCGCGGCAACTCAGGGCACCGTCGGGGCGCCAGGGCGGGTCCGCGGCGGCTCAGGCTACCGTCGCGGGCGCCAGGGGCGGGTCCGCGGCGGCTCAGGGCACCGTCGCGGGCGCCAGGGGCGGGTCCGCGGCGGCTCAGGCTACCGTCGCGGGCGCCAGGGGCGGGTCCGCGGCGGCTCAGGGCACCGTCGCGGGCGCCAGGGGCGGGTCCGCGGCGGCTCAGGCTACCGTCGCGGGTGCCAGGGGCAGATCCGCGGCGGCTCAGGGCACCGTCGCGGGCGCCAGGGGCGGCTCAGGCTACCGTCGCGGGCGCCAGGGGCGGGTCCGCGACGGGCAGAAAAAAACGTCACGCGCCACCCGGCGCGAGACAGAGCGCAAATCGCCACGCGCCCGAGGCGCGCGACCGGAAAAACAGCAGCGGAAGCGAGAGGCTGGCCCACAGGCCAGGACATAACAGGCTCTGATACCATGTTAAGATAGGTATGTAGCAAGTAAGTAGGTTTAAGTAGGGCCTAGGCTTAGTAGCCTAGGCCACGAGGAGACGAGTGAGTTTGTGCCACGGGAAGGGGACGAGAATGTGGTTCACTATGGAGCGAACAGTACAAATAGGCAAGGGAGAAGAATGGTGCACCACCACCAACAGTTTATGATTGCTACACTAACTACAACAGCTACAGGCAGTTACACAACATATTCTGACATTACCTTCAGCAGCTTCGCACCCGAAACCGGAAATTTCCAACATTCGGTTGTAGCGGGGGGGGGGAGGATTCGATGGGAAAACTGCGTAGGAACCATCATCATTTTCCTTCGCCCCCCCACCTCCCTCCGAAGGAGATGCCTGCAGAACGCAGCCAATATGTGATGATGCTGAACGAACCTCAGCTTCGGCCTTCCAGCTAGACATCCCACACCCCACCACACCACAACACACTATTCCACCCCTCACCTCACCACACCATATCGCACCGCACCGCACCACATGCTGAGCATGTCACACCTGGGCTTGCAATCTTACTGGTCACGCATTTCACGGATGATGGCAGCTCACCGTTGCCGA